CTCCCCCTTGTTCCTCAGTTAAGTTCCTCCTAATCCTCCTATACGTGCAAACATATGGTATTTGTCCTTCTCTGCCTGACTTATTTCACTCAGCATAACACCCTCAAGGTCCATCCATGTTGCTACACATGGCCAGATTTCACTGTTTCTCATTGCCATGTAGTATTCCATGGTATAGATAAACCACATCTTCTTGATCCATTCATCTGTTGATGGACACTTAGGCTCTTTCCATGTTTTAGCTATTGTGGAGAGTGCTGCTATGAACATTGGGGTACATGTGCTCCTATGCCTCAGCATTTCTATATCCCTTGGGTAAATTCCTAGCATTGGTTCAGCCTCCTTTAAACACAGGTGGCAGGGGTGCCCCCCAACATACAAGTGCACACGCATGTGCTTGCACACACACCGGCACCCCGAAGGCAGCAGGGCCTGGAGTAGCTCCTAGGAAACCCTGCGGAGAGGCTGCTCTTGCTTGGAGAGTTTTCTGGCTCATCCTGCCCAACTGGACGGAGCCCCCAGGTGTCAAGCAGCCTGACTTCACAGGTGCTGCTGCACCAGGGGATGGACAGACTGGAGCTGGGGTGCCACGGGGTGTGGTGGGGACGGGGGATGGAGAGCCTTGTGGAGGGACCATCCACACACAGGGGCGGTGACGGAATTGGTAGGTGGGAGCCCGGGGACCACGGTTCTGGCTGTGATGTGGGGGAGGGACAGAAATCGTGGTGTGGGATGGGCAGACAGGTGGTTTAGGCTGGATGATCCACCACCTGGGGAGGCCTTGGGACTGGAGCCCACCCCATGGTTCTGGTGCCTGGGGACAGGGGTCAGCTGGCACAGGGGACCCGCAGATAGCAGTGCCCGGGGACAGGGCAGGTGGCTGCTGGTCTCAGGCTGAGCACCAGAACCATCGGGCCCCAGCATGGATGACAGCGGGCTGCCCATCACCCCCACCTGGAAGAAGCCCTGGGTGGAGGCCCCTCTCTCCTGCCCTCGCTTGTAGCAGGGCGTGTGTGGCCACGATGCCTCAGACCCTCTCCCCGCTTCCCCTGAGACTGCGGGTGGCCGGGAGGAGCCGGCAGGACACTGGGAGCAGAGCCCAGGGGAAAAGTCACGTGGCCCGTGACTCGCAGGCCCACTCTCCTTATACTCAAGGACGTTTGCTGCAGTCTGTAACCCAGACACCGCGTGTGCCCGCGGGAGTGTCAGTCACAGGCCACTTGCCTGTGCTCCTGACGGACGTGGCCTGACTTTGGGGGGAACAAAGCAAATCACGGGTTTGGTGAAAGACCCCTCACCAGCCAGGACTCGAGGAGCATCACACTCTGTGCTCCCTTCTTGGGGCCCCGGCCTCACGGCTGGTCTACACTGGCATGAACCTGGGCCAGGGTGTGTGGCAGGCTGTGGGCAGGATGGCTTGCCCCGGGGGTGTGGCGCCCGGGCTCCATGGCTCCTGGCTGTGCCGCAGGAGGTGCAAGCAGCACTCTGGCGGAGACGTGGCTCTGGCACCGGCAGGAATGAGAAGGAGCCCGACTGAGCAGACAATGGCTCACCATCCATGCAGACTCTCCATGCAGGGGTGCCTGGGAGCTGCCTACGAGGTGTTCACACCCACAGGCCAGCTCAGCGCTCTGCGTGCATGTGCAGACATGTAGCACGCTGCTTCTGCATAAGCACACAAACACGGGCAGCCGTGCACAAAGGTCCCTGGGCATCAAGGAGTAACGGGTGGGAATTTCTCGTGAATGCCGCAGCCACAGGCATATTTTCTGTTCCTTTATTCGTTTATTCATGAGCGTCCGCTGCCCTCACGCCCACCTATCCCATTTGACGTGGGTGGAGCTATTTCTGAGGTGAAGATGTTCGGGCCCCAGTTTGCTCAGGCTGAACAGTGCTGTACCCATTCTGTGGAGGAGGAGACTGAGGCTGGGAAGTGAAGGGCCCTCCCGTGGCTGTGGCTGGTGCTCCTCCAAGCCGAAGTTGCCCGACTCTGGCCTTAGGTGGGGCTGGTGCTTCTCTAGCGGCTTTCCAGCCCCTGCCTGGTGGTGCTCAGTTGTTCAAGGACACGTACCCTTGGGTCTGATGGACTTTGGACCCACATGAGCCCCCCTCCACTGGGCACCATCGGGGTCCAGCCAAGCACTGGGGTGACTGCCACCAGCCCATGGCTCCGACTCCACGATGCTTGTTGTCCCCCCCCGCTCCCGGAGTGATGGGTCCAGGGAGCCTCTCTGCAGGCACCAAGCACCTGAAAAACAAATAAAAGGGGGTATAACTGGGGTCTCAGAGGAGAAGCCACTCTGATGTGCCCTCCTGCCTGCCACCTTGACTGGTTTTCCTGCCTGTGGGCATTGTGCCTGCCCGCTGGAGGACAGCAGAACGACAGAATCTCCTAGGTTTTAAAAACTGAAACGGCACTGAAGGAGGGAGTCATGTATGAATCCTTTTTCTCCTGGGCCCTCCCAGGCCACGTTCCACGAGACCTGATTATTTTCGGGCCAGGCTTGGAGTCACTGAGAGGAATTTGAAGACTATGGTCTCGCATTTTGGCAAGTGTGTTTCTCCAGCCCAGAACATTCCGGCTTGCAGTCCCTTGGGGGTGTCTGCGCAGCCCCGTCGGCAGCCTGGGAAGTAAGTCGTGGGAACGGTGCAGGTCTGCACCCCAGTGTCTGCCGGCGCCACTCCAGCAAGAGGCCCCAAACCACACACCCGAGCGCAGAGAAGCGCGTGCCCGTGAGCGTGTTCCGGGCTGGGAGGCTGTTCCACGTAGCCCCGGTGCCCCCTGCGTCCACAGCCACAGGAGGGAGTGTGGGGCTGGCACACTGTCTGTCCGTCTGTCTGTCCGACCATCCGGGAAAACATGGTCGCGTCTACCACAAAGGACCTGCAACACACAATGGCATTTCCCTGCCCTGTGTTTGCCGAGGCTCTCCCTACAGGCGCTTCATGTGCGAGGACCCTCACTGCTGTCTGGCTGGGACAGTGACACACCCGCGTGCATGCGCCCCCAGTGTCCATGGTCACGTGGCCTGTGCTCTGAGCGCCCGGCAGGGAATGCTGCCAGTCTTGTGGTGGATAGTGGTCCTGGGTGAACGGTCGGCATGGCGGACCCGTGCCGGCCCACCCAGACCCATCCCTACTCCCTCCTGCAAATGCGGCCTGATTCCCAGGTCCTCCCCATGCTGCCCACCCTCTCTGCTGTGCCTCGGTGAGCGTGTGACCTGCTTGGACCAATGCAGCATAAGGGAAAGTTGCGGGGAGCTTCTGGAAGGTTTTCCTGCTGTGAGACACCTGCAGGAGGAAGCAGTGGGCTCTCTGCCTGCTGATGGCAAGGGGAGACGCTTGCTGACTCCCAGAACCGTGGCAGCTGGTGAGCCACCATGAGGGACTGAGGTCGCAAGAGCAAGAGGCGAGGATAAGCCCTGGTCCCTGATATGTGTCCGGGCCACTGAATTGGCTGCCCGTCTTCTGGTTCCACAGCCTCACAGGTGCCCCAGCAACCCTCAGGCCTCCCCAGCTGCCTTTGGATCTGAACGGACGCTTCTGGCCTGGAGGCTCGCTGAGTGATTCTGCAAACGGAGACATCCAGTTCTGCCCCTGGGCTTTTGAAAGAGGAAAACGATCCCAGTTGTAAAATGGAAAATTTTCTAAGCAGAAATGAAAGGGCTGTAGATTACAGACATCGTAAGTTAAAGGACCAAAGTGCCAAAGAATTAGGTGGGCACAGCCGGGGGGTTGAGGAAAACAACGCCCGTCACAGCGTCCGGGCACCAAGGGCCCATTTGCGGTGTTGGGATCAGCCGCCCTGTGTCTCCCTGGTGACGGCAGAGCCCGCGTGTCACCCTCAGCCGTGGCTCCCAGCCCAGGACTCCTTCCTCCCCCCACCCCGGGGGCTGGGCGGGAGCACGTGTGCGCCCGCCCTGGGCAGTGGCGGTGGCGCTCAGCTGCGCTCAGCTGTTTACAAGTCTGGCTCCATCCGTCAACTGGCTTCATAAACACCCAGGAAGCCCACAGCTAAGCGGGGGGTAGCGCAGGGGATCCAGCTGCAGGGGCTGCCCATCAGTGCCCCCAGATTCCAGGCACGGCGGCACCGGCGGGGTCATCTCACAGAGTCTCTAGACTGTGGTGAGGCCGGAGTCACTCATTAACCCAGGCTCTGCCTGGCCAGCAACCTAAGCAGGGTCTACTGAGCACCCCTGGGAACAGAATCACATCTGTCAGTGCAAGGGCACTGGGGCGGTGGACATGCCCATCAGAGAGGCTGTGGGCCTGGGTGCAGGGGGCAGGGGGGAGGGCGGGGCAGGCGCCCTCGTTCTCCCTGTGGTGAAAAAGCTGGTGGCCTGTCCCAGCGGCTCAATTATTTGGGAGGCTGTCAAGCCTGGCCGCTCAGGGCTCAGCTGTAGGAGTAATGCTGTTTACTGATGTGCACAGTGCAGGGTTGAGCACCGGCTGGATGCTCCAGGTGGTTTACAAAGCCTCCCTTCTAATGCTCACAGATGTGGACAGTGGGCGTGTTCCCCAAACAAAGGACTGGCCTGGGGGTCTTGGCAGACGAGGAGCCTGGGGTCAGAGCCCGTCTGTGGCTCCAGAAAATTCCCAGGAGCGAGGCTGCACTGATCTGTGTGCTCCATGCCAGCCCCGGAGCCCGTATTGATGACTGAGCCCACAGCCGCTGCAGAACCCCCACCCCTGCTCAGGAGGGACCCACACAGTCCACTGGGTGCGTGACCTGAGACCACGCCCATCCTGCTGGAGCGCCAAGTCCCTGGGAGCTAGCCCAACGTCAGTCCAGGGCTCCCCCAAAGATTCCCACCACCTGGCCTGCAGTGGCCTCTGACCCCATGCCCTCTGTCCCTGAGGAGGAACACCCCGAATTCAGTGAGGAAGGGGGGCAGGTGGATGGGAGCTGGTGGGAGGGGGTTTGGACATGCCCCCTCGCCTGGTGACCCCCTCACCTGTGACCCCCCCCAACTGCTGACATGTCCCCTTGGCGTCCGCAGGGCACAGCCTCAGTCCTCCAGCGCCGGTCCCCCAATGAAGAGTATGTGGAGGTGGGGCGTCTGGGGCCCTCCGACTACTTTGGTGAGTCTGGGGTCTCTGCCCTCTTATAGGGGGGTCTCCAGAAGGGCCCTGAGGTGAGAGCTGGGGGGAGCATGCAGGGCAGGCCTGGACACCCTCAATGGACATGTCCTGGACATGGCTGTCCCCAGGGAAGGCATGGAGTCCTTAGTGGCCCGAGTCCCTGCGGGGGGCAGGACTATGCCCAGCTGTGCCCCAGTGCCCCGTGGAACATGCTCACATGGGCGCGCGTGCCGGCACTGGGGTCCTGCGGGGCCAGCCGTCTCAGGCAGCCCTGGAGGCCTGGTGCCTGACCACCTGCTCGTCCACAGGGGAGATTGCGCTGCTGCTGAACCGTCCCCGGGCGGCCACCGTGGTGGCCCGGGGGCCTCTCAAGTGCGTCAAGCTGGACCGGCCCCGCTTTGAGCGGGTGCTGGGCCCTTGCTCCGAGATCCTCAAAAGGAACATCCAGCGCTACAACAGCTTCATCTCCCTCACCGTCTGAGCCCCGCCCCGTTGGAGTCCCACCCCCCGAGGCCCCGCTTCCCTCTGAGTGGTCTATGTCCGAGGGTCGCGGGGGCGGGGGTGGGGTGCGCCCCTCCCTCTGGACTCCTGTTTGGAATAAAACAGTCACCTCGTGCATTTCAAACACAAAGGGCCCCCAAGACCCCCAGGCCTTGGAGGTGCCAGTGTCCCCCCCCCCCCCCCCGCCTCGGACCTCCCCCTGCAGCTTTCGGGCTCCTTTGCCGGAACCCAGCCTCACTCCCCCCCAAGTCTCTGGGGGTGCAGGGGCCAGCCGTGAGTCCAGGCCCCCCCACCCCAGGGAGCTGGACTGGGCTGACTGATCAGTTCTTGTACTTGTCCCCCCACCTCGCCCCATGCCCCAGGGCCCAGGGGTCAGGTCACCAGGGCTGCAGTCTGAGTATCACTCAGTGAGGTCAAAGGGGGTATCCCACAGGGATCCTCCTTGCAGGGAGTCCACGTCAGGGAGAGAAGCTCCCCGCTCCAGAGGGTCCTGCTGTAGACCTCTGGCGTGAGAATAACTGAAGGTGGCCCTGCCTCAGAGAGGAGGGGACCCCATCTGGCCACAGGTGAGCCCCCCCCACCTCCTGGGGCCTAGGCTGGCAGGAACCCCTAGAGGAGCTATGCCCTTGGCTTTCCAGGGATATTACCCCTTGGGGTGGCTGGCGTGCCCAACAGTTAGGGGCAGCAGGTCACCCTCGCTGGGCCGGACGCCCCGGACAGGAAGGAGACGCCAGGAGCTGGGGACTTTCCGCTGTCCGGGGAGCACTGTCCTCTCAGGGTCGGGTGGAGCAGATGGTGTTTGCTTCCTTGTGAGCAGTTCCTCAGGGACCTCATGAGGTAGAGGACACGTTTTCTAGACACGCTCTGGGTTCGGCTGCGACCCCCAGGGGCTCCTCAGCTGCCCAGCAGGTGCCCCACTGGCCACTAGCCCTTGCTCTGGGAAACAGGTGCTTTCCAAGCCTCTGTCCTCCCGAAGCAGGAAAAAATAAGAGACCGAACAGCCAGGCCCCACACGCCCGTCAATGACCGATTGAACCCCCACTTAGATGTGTTTTCAGGCCACGTCAACTGGAGGTACAGAGGCCTGGGGGCAGGACAGAGAGCCTCGTGGTGCCCCTGGTGACAGAACAAGAATGAGATCGTGCAGCCAGCCCGGTTCTGCCCTCCTGTGCGCGTCCGGGAAGCCGCCAGTTGGAGGCACCCCCCCAGCCAGCCCTGCCTTTGCCCGTGGATTCCCCGTGATGCGCGAGCCCACCGTGTGCGCCGTGAAGCGCTCAGTGCTGCATGTGTATTAAATGTGCCGTGAAGTACCTCTTCCCAGCTTGGGGTTTGGTCTGAAATCTTTAATAGAGGAAGGTTTTCTTTCGTTTTTATTGTGCAAAAATATACATAACATAAACTTTACCACCTTAACCAGTTTTAAGAAATACGGGGGACATGGAGCACAGTCACACTGCTGTGCAGCCGTCCCCACTGCCCGTCTCCAGAACGTTCCATCTCCCCACACCGAGACTCTGTCCTATTACACACGGACCCCCACCTGCTCCCCCGGCCCCGCCCCACAGTCTACTCTGTGTCTGTGAGTCTGATGATTGCCGGACCTCGTGGGAGTGGGTCCCAGTGTGAGTCCTCCCGTGTCTGGCTAGTGTCACTCAGCATCGTGTCTTCAGGGCTCGTCCCCGTGGTAGCAGGTGTGATTTCTTCCTCTTTCAGGCTGAGTGACATCCTCTGTGTGGAGCACGTGGCAGTTGACCGCCTGTCCATGGACATACCCGGGGGGTGCCGCAGTGCTGGGTGCTGTGGGGAAGGAAAGCGGCCGCTTGCCGGCCTCAGGTGCTTTGGATGGCCCTGAGGGGGCAGGGGGCGATGGCGGGGGGCAGGGGTTGATGATGGGGGGCCCACGGGATCCAGTCTTCATGTGTAGATTTTGGAAGCCACAGTTCTGGCCTGAGCCTTGCCCCCGGCTGCAGGGCTTCCCTGGCCTCCTCCGGGCTAACAGGCTGACTTCAACCCCAGAGCGAAATGGGCACACATGCAGGCCTCTCACTGGGGATCACAGCCAGTCTCTGTCTTGCTGTGGGGGCTGGGAGGGCCCATGGGCATGTGGGGCTGCCAGCTAAGCCCCTCTTCTCGTGGCTGGACAGGGGTCAGGCTCCTGGGGAAAGCCACCACCAAGCCAGGAACAGGGACACCAGCCTCCGTGCAGGTCAGTCTGCCCTGTTCCGGCTGTGCGGGCTTCCAGAGCAAGGAATGACCCAGAGAAGGTCACTGCTGCTGGGCTGGGTGGCAGTTGGTAGGTCCAGGAGGGGCAGAACCCTGTATGAGGACTCGGGTGAGAGGCACGGCTCCAGTCCTAAGCCATGATCCTCCCAGGGACTTCTGTGAGCTCCTTCTGCCCAAAGTCTGGCCCAAGGTGAGGCTCTAAGGAGCTTACTCAGGAAGGTGCATGGGGGGCTGGTGCTAGAGAGGTGCACAGCCAGAAGCCGCGGGACTCTGGGGTACCCAGGCTCTCAGCTGGCGGTCTTTCCCAGGGAGCTCGCCAGGGCCTCCCTGCTGTGCTGGTGGGTCTGCTCTACAGTCTGACAACTACCCCCACAAGAGCTTCCAGAAGTATGGTGAGAGCCAGCCATCCTAGGCTTCTGGGCTCCTGCCCCAGGCCTGCGGCCACATGGTCACGTCCAGGTGCTGTGGTCCTGGGGGCTTGGAGCAGGATGCAGAGAGCTGAGTGTCATCACATGTGGGGTGGGGCCCAGGACGCAGTGGTCTCCGCCCTGTTCCTCTGCTGTCGTAGGAACACAGCACATACTTGGCTCGAGTTTCTTTTCCAAATATCTATTTGAACAGTTATTGCAAAGCTCTGCGTGACAGAGATGTAATGTGAGCCGTGTGTAATTTGAGGCGTTCCAGTGCCCGGGAAACTTAAGAGTGAAATAAACAGGTGAGATTCAGGTTTTTTCTGTGTGAAAATATACATAATATGGAATTTACTATTTAATCAGTTTTAACTGTACAGTCCAGGGCGTCAAGTACATTCACACCCGTCCCTGCCGTCTGTGTCCAGACCCTCCATCAGCCCACACTGCGGCCCAGTCCTCGTTACACATGGGCCCTACCAGGCACGCACCGTCTGCTTTCTGCCTCTAGAAAGAAGTTCGTTTTAATAATGTATTTTATTTAGCTCAATGTATTCAAAGCATTGTCGTTTGAGCGTATTATCAATATTGGAAACGGCTCCTAAGAGATTCTGTGCTCTGCGGACGCGGTCTTGGGCCCTGGCAGGCACGTGCACATGCAGCAGGGCTCAGGGTGCACTCATGGTGAGCGGGCTGCAGGCTTCGTACAGACCTTGGGAAGGCCCCTCCCTGGGCCCTGGCTGCCACCACCCGGAACCCATCCGTGGGAATTGGCCGGGTGTCTGTGACCTTCACCCACAGCCCCGGATATGTATTTATCTTTGTCAGAAAGGCCTCCATGTTCTCCCTGATTGATTCTGCTAAAGTCATGAATTTGACCCTGTGAGATGCAGGTCTTTGCAGACCCATTAGAATGCTTCCTCGTCCTGCGGCCTAGCATATCACGGTCCTGGCCTGATGTCAGAGTGTCCCCAGGGAAGTGGCCCAGGTGCCCGACACTGGCAGGAACCCAGCGTCCTAGGCTGGGTTTGGGGTGAGGTAGCGAGAAAGACTAGGGCAAGGATGCTGGGCGGCGGGGGGGCAGGTGTCAAGGGACCCCTTTAGGGAGTGGGGGTTGGGGCCTAGAGCCTCTCTGTTACCTCTTGCCATGAAATGAATTCCCCAAATTCGGCACCCCAGACATCGCGGCTGTCACACCACAGGACACGCCGTGGGGAGCAGCTGAGCTGGGTGGTTCTGGACTGGTTCCTTCAAGAGGACCTGGAGGCCAGCGGGGGCTGGATCTGCATCCCTGGGGCTGCCTTCCAGGGCCGTCCCCACCTCCCATGCGCGGGGAGGCCTGGGTCCTGGAGCTGGACCAGGCCTGGGCTTCCTCACGACGTGGCATCAGGCTCCCCCATCAAGGGGCCAGGGGGAGTGAGCCTGTTAGGCCCCTGGCCCAGAAGTCACATTCAGTAGAAGCAGTCACACCTGCAGGGAGGTACGGTGCCACTGCCATGTGTGCTGGGTACGCTGGTGGCCAGGTGCCTGATTAGAAGTGGAAGCCCCGGGCCTGCCCAGCGTCGGGCGCCGTGGCACAGGATGCATCCAGACTACCACATGCAGAGGGGCTGCACAGAAGTCTGAGATCCCATTGTACAGGTGAGAAGCTGGAGGCTGGAGATGGTGGCCCCTGCTGGTGGCTGTCTACCTGTCCCCATCCCCGTCCCTGTCCACAGGGCTGGGCCTTGCCAGCCATGCCCACCAGCATCCTCCCTCCATCCTCACAGACTGGTGCCTGGCATGGGCTTGGGGCCAAACTGAGCCACGGAAGGAAGGCAGATGCTCTGAGCCTCCAGGTCTGGCCTTTTACTGCCGTGGCCACAGGAAGCTCCCGGCTGGGTGTAGCACCGAACTCTGGGCCCGTCTCAACGACCGGGGCCATGGCCACCTGTGCCGTGCAGAACTCGGGCCCCCTCCTCGGAGGCTGGGCGCTGGGCCGGCTGCGGCCTCTCCCCAGCTGGGCCTGGGCCTGTTCTCTCTGGCACCAGGCAGGCACAGACCCGGTCTTGTGAAAGCGCACTTTTGTGTGCCTGAGACAAGCTGGGCGATTGTTCTTGCCCCCTTGCGGCCCCCAGGGCGGTGCCAGGGCGCGGTACTGCATCAGCCACAGGGAAGGGGTCCCCGCTAGTGTGGTTACCGCCCACCCTTCGTGGCCTGGGGATCGTGGCCACACTGACGGGGCCACACAGACGGGGCCACGCACCGACTCCCAGCCACAGGGGCCTTGCCCGCCTCTGTCCCCGTGGCCCTGGTCCTCTCTGCTTCCCTGGGGGCTGATGTGGACACCACAGGGCCATGGTAGCTTCTGGAAGGGGCCTGGGAGTGGCTGGGGCAGCCCGGCTGGGTGGACCCCGGGCCCTGATAAACACTGGGATAAATACATAAAAGCACAGAAACTGCTGGCTGAGGAGGGAGGTGCTGGGCGATTCCGTCTCTGGCTTCCACAGGCCACAAAACGCTTTGACCTGAGTCTTACACCTTCTACAAAAATTAGCTCAACACAGCTCACAGACTTCCACGTAAACATAAAAGGCAAAAACTTCCAGAAATACAAACAGGAGAAGGTCCTGGGATCTCAAGCAGGCAAGGAAATTGCTCTGAGATCAGATACCCAAAGCACAATCCGTAAAAGGGAAATGGGATTACTTGGAATTCCTGAGAATTAAAAGCGTTTGTCTTGCAGCCGCTTCTGTGAAGCAAAGGGAAAGGGAAGCTGCAGACGCAAAATATTTTCAAACCACGTGTCCCACAAGGAAAGAAATCTGGATGCTCAACAATAAACCACCACCCAATTAGGGCGTGAGCAGGGTTGCCCTGGAGAGCATACAGGTGACAGGTGCGTGCACCAAGCAGCCAGCGGGGTGCCGACCATGGGGACCACACTGCACAGCGATCAGGGCAGCAAGGGGAAGGGCGGTGACGACAGCCAGTGCCACCAGGATGCGGGTGCTGGTGCCGCCATTCTGGGAGACAGTGGGTGGTTTCCTTAAAAAATGAACAAACCAAATGCAACACCAAGTACCACATGTCACACCGCAGAGAGGCAGGTGTGTGCTTGCGGGAAACCTCACGCCCAGGCTCCTTCTGGGCCCCGGCACGGGCAGCTACCTGGGCATCCACGGGGGACCGTGCCATGGGGCTCCACTCACCATGGAAAGGGACTGAGTACTAAAGCAGCAGCAGGGACCCGGTGCATCTCCAGACTCATGCTGAACAGAGAGGCAGCCCTCACGTGCTGTGCACCCTCCTTGAAATGACAAAATGAGGAACAGTGCTGGCTTCGGTGGGAGGTGGGGAGGGAGTGCTCACAACGGCACCCAGGCAGAAGGGGTGGCTGCACATTGGCTGGACCCACACCGGGACCCTGCTTGAGGGACACACTCGCGCTCTGCAGGACGTGAGCCCAGGAGGAAACTGGGTAAAGGGTACACAGATGCCCTGGATCTTGATTAAAAGGGAAAAAGAGAGGCTGTGCGTCTTAGGGGCCGGAGGGGGCCAGAGGGAGAAGGCCAGAGGAAGGGGAGGTGGGGGCGGGGTGGGGAGGGGCACAGAGGGGCCTGGGTCCCTTCGGAAGCCGCTGGAGAGCTGGAGCCTGGGAGCCACGGGTGTGGTGTGTGTGATGGAGGGTCCCCAGGGCCTGGCCAGG